TGACTTGCCCAGAATCACACAGCTAGTAAGTGTTATGTGTCTGAGGCTGGTTTTGAACTCACGTCCTCTTTGCTCCAGGGCTGGTGCTCTATCCGTTGCGCCACCTAGCTGTCCCAGATCGGGGTTCCTTTTAAAGGCTGACTTAAAGCATGCTTTCTCTATGGCAGATGACTCCACTTATGTTTCTGTTGCTGAGGGTAATCATTTGTTTGGTTTAAGGGAGTTGATCTGTCTAATGTGGCTCTGGAGAAATGGGGGTGTTTTACAAGTTTGCAAACTTGTTTAAATTTCCCACATCTTCAGTAGGGATCCAAGCTTAGTCAATGTCTTCTTAATACCCTGTAACCTTTCATTTGGATCATCTGTCTAGTTTTTGATCTTTAGCCACATGTATACCTCTCCCTACCCCTTATATGGGCAGCTAGGTGTCACAGTGGTTAGAGTACCAGGCCTGGAATCAGGAAGACTCATCTTCTTAAATGCCAATCTGAACTCAGACACTTGATAGCTGTGTGACCTTGGGCACATCTGTAAAATGAACTGCAGAAGGAAATAGTAAACTGTTCCAGTATTTTTGCCTAGAAAACCCCAAATGGCATCATGAAGAGTCAGACATGACTAAAACAACCAAACACCATGTGTATACATACACCAAAATTTGTCCATATATGTGGATGTAAGTTGCCCCTTCTACTCAACAATGGTATGAATTAATCTACTCTGAAGCAACAGAATTTCCTAGTAATCCATATTCCATTTGCCTTGCTCTTTTACCAATTTAGGCACCAGGAAAATCTCTTTGCTTTGTTATATATGACACATTCATAAAGGATAACTAGACCGTCCCTGATGAAAGAGTTAGTCCTCAGGGACAGAGCAGTGTGAGAGACATGTTCTCTCTCTTGAGTTGGTCTGGTACTAGGGTACAAAACATTCCTGCCTCTCTCAGCTGCAAGTTTGAAAGTGGCAATTTTAGGAAAAATATTGGAAAATGCAGTGTTACTTTATGTAGAGAGTACTACAGTTAGCAACATATATTAATGTGGTCCCCAGGGCAAATCTGACTTGGAGTCAGAGGATCTGGTTTCAGATCTCTGGCTCCATCACACTTACCACCACTTATGGGACTTTAGGTAAATTACAACCTCTCTTGAAAAAGGATTCCCTAGCCATCTCAATATTATGAGGAGAGAGAGAGAGAGAGAGAGAGAGAGAGAGAGAGAGAGAGAGATCCTAAAGTGAATCAAAAGATCCTATACAGAGTATAATCAAATTTTGCATTCCAAGGATCCAGGAAGAAGAGTATATTACAGCATTGGTCAATTTTCTGCATTCTTTACTGGTGCTTATGTGAAATTCCTTCCCTTATCTCCCTAATCCTCTAAATTATCTATGGATGAGAATTTATACAAGAAGGAACCCTATACTATTTACCTTGACCTGTAGTAAATTTCAAGTACTCCTAGCTCTTGGGGGCTAGTGGTCATCTACCACTTCTGTATCTCTCCTTATCTACACACTACTCACTTATAGTTCAACACAAATGTTTGCTGACTAAATGAACATGGAGTATTTTGTTGAGGAGCTCCAGTAACTTCTCTAAGGTAGAATAGCTCATGAGGGAGGGAAAAAGTTGATCCACACAGTAAGAAAGGAGGATTACTAAAGACCAGGAGGTCTTAACTTCTCCATCGATTTGCCTATCTTCCTTTTGGACAGAGCATCCCTATCATTTCTTCCTTCTGGCTCCCGAAGCCCTGGGGCACTCTTGTAGTCTCTTAGGCCCCTTACAGTTGGTCAGGTGTCTATCCCCTTCAAGGGGTCAGGGACAGGACTGATGAGTGATGTCATTGGTACAGTAAAGCCCTGGGTCAGGAAGCTCCCTCTGTCAATTCAGGTTAGCACCTTCTTCAAAAGAGTTGCCCAGAGCTCTGAGAGGTGACTTGCCAAGGGTCATAGGGTCAATGTGTCAGAGGTGAGACTGGAACCTGAGGCTCCATGGCCACACCATGTAATGAATGCTGGGCAGTACTACCCCTTCCCACATTATTTTCCTCTCCTTATCTAGTGCCAGCTAGAGGCAGATGCCACCTCATTCAGCTTAGCAGGTTTTCTTTTAAAGAGTTGTCACCTCACCCAACTTTATTGCTTTAGAGTTCTATGATTTTATTAGTACGCACATTGATATGGATGTCAACACCTTAATATGGATGTCACTTCTACACCTCCATTGCCAAGGCTTTGATTTTACCTTGGTAATATCTCTCACATACTCCTCCCTTCTCTCCTCTGACAGTGCCACTACCCTGGTGCAGTCTGTTATAATACCTCATGCTTGAACTACTGCACTAGCTTGCTAGTTGGTCTCCTTATGACAAGTCTTCCCCCATTCCAATCTATCTTTCCCTTAGCTATCAAATTAATCTTCCCAAAGGGCAGATCTGATCATGTCACTCATCTACTTAAGAAAATCTAGTGGCTCCCTGTTACTTTCAGGATCAAACATAAAACCCCGTTTGGCATTCATAAGCTGCCCCTTCCAGTTTTCTTTCTCCTTACACATCCCTCTCCCCAATTTATTCTGAAATCCAGTGACATTGGCCTCCTTGCTACCTAAGACAATCCATCTCCTTACTTTTTTTTTTTTTAATTTTTAGGCAGGTGGGGTTAAGTGACTTGCTCAGGGTCACACAGTTAGTAAGTGTCAAGTGCTTGGTCTGTGGCCGGATTTGAATACAGGTCCTCCTGATTCCAGGGTCAGTGCTCTATCCACCGTGCCATCTAGCTGCCCCTATCTCCTTACTTTTCAATGCTAACTTTCCACAGTATTTTCACTGGCTGTCCCCCATGGCTTGGAATATTCTCCCTCTTCATCTCTACCTCCTGACTCCCCAAGCCTTTGAGGAGTATAACCCTTTATAACATTCTTTTTTCCCCTAGGAAAAACATAATTTATTTTTTTCCCAATTACATGTAAAACAATTTTAACCTTTTTTTTTAAAAAACAATTTTGAGTTTTAAATTCTCTTCTACCCTCCCTCCCCTCCTTCCTCATTAAGAAGACAAGCAATTTGCTTTTTAAAGCATTCTTAACAAGTGGTCCTCCCAACTTTATTGGCAATTCACTCCTGATGAAGTAGCCATTTCCACTTATGAATGGTTCTAATCATTATTAAGTTTTTCCTAACAAACATATCTAGGAGTATGATGGCAAATGCTTAATAACTAGCTCTCAGAAAATGTACTTAGACATTCTTAAATTTAACCTGCATCATTAACATTTTCTCCATCACTTTCTTAAATCTAGACAATCAACAAAATAAGAAATCAAGTCCTTGGGTCACACAAAACCATTATAATCATCCTTCTAGCATTCTCAATTCAACCAATCCTCACATGATGGTTTCTGGTCCCCTTCCTATCTTAGTTATTCTCCTTTGGACTCACTCTAGTTCATCAAAAATCTTTTCCAAAATGTGGAATACTCAAAAGCATACACAGTACACCAGAAGGGTCTGACCAGGTCAGAAAAGAGAAGGACTATCTCCTAATGGCCTAGTGTGTTAGAAAAAGGGTTCATACATTTCTTGTCATTTCAATGACTTTCGTTAACTCAGCAGGAACAGATTCGATATATTTATACAAATAACGGATCCTATTCACGAAGTGGCACTGGCTATGTGTCTGCTGGTCTGTTTATACAAAGCATCTCAAAAGTCTTAGTACTGTTAAGCCTATTAAGGTTTAAACTGCACTAAGATGTTTGGGACATCCTTTATATACTTCAATGAATTTGTGATTTGATTGACAGGAATGGCCTCTCTAATGATACAGACCCCAACCTATCCAAATCTGCTCAGTCTGGGAGAGACACTTGTCTACATTTGACAAAGAAGATCTACCCAAATACTGGGTGCCATTCTTGTTTTCTCTTGACATTGCAATTCTCCTGAGAACTACGTTGTTAGTGAAGTACACAGGAGCCACGTGGACTTTCTGGGATCAAGCACTGTGGTGGCTTGATTTTGCCATGTTATTAACCTGCCTTTTTTTTTTTTTTTTGATCATACATTTCTTTGGTGACATCCTTTACTATAATTCTTCATAATTCTTTGCTATGTGCTATTGACTGGTCATACCTATCACATGCCTTCTCCATTGCCCTAGTGAGTCCTCATTTTACATTCTTTGCAGCTGTAGTGTTACGCAAATAATAGCTATTACACTAAATTGGTAGATTATTGGTATTAAAAAGATGGGCTTTTTTTTTCTGGGAAAAATTTAAGGTCATTAAAGGGGTTTGGGATTTTCCTAAAGACAGTCTACATCAGTGATGTCAAATTCAAATAGAAATTGATCCACATATTGACTTAGAATACCACAAATTAACATTATTCATTCTTATTAACATTAACATTATTCATGTTATATTGTATTTTTATTTATTTTTTTTAAACATTTCCCAATCTGGTTGGCATTGACCTCTGATCTAGAAAACTTCTTTTTCTCTTTAATTTTGGGCCCTTTCTCCCTTAGCATAAGTGTAAATGGTAGTGGTGGGATTAGTGGTTTCGTAACTCTCCACAGGCTTAGAAGTTCTTTCTCATGTAAGGGGGTCCCCACAGGTTAGTTACAAACATGGTACAAACCTCTTAAAGGCATTGGTCTACTGCAGAGGGTAATTTCTAGACTAGGAATTCATGAACTTGCTTAAAAATATTTTGATAACTATATTTCAATACAACTGATTTACTTTGTAATCCTATATATTTTATTATATGCATTTTAAAACATTATTCCAAGAAAAACTGCAAAGAAAAAAAATTAAGAACCTTTGTACTGGGACTCTCATGGACCTGGCTACATGTCCTTTCTGTGCCTTTTACTATATAAATAAAACTGCATTTTGTTTTGAAGACTTGTGAACTTTGGTGCTTGTAAAAGGTGCTTATGGCTATCTTAGGGAGAATGTCAAATTAGCGAGAGTTCCCAGGTTCATTCCAGGTGGAGGCAATAAGCCAGATTAGTGAGCTGATGGGCACTCTGTTTATGAATGCCAAATAATTGGCATTCTGAAATTCTGCCTGGGTGGGGAGCAATGAGCCAGATAAGTGTGAGGTTCTCCCAAAGTGTATCTAGGATCTTTATGTCCAAAGGGATACTCTGACACAAAGATTACAATAGCTTCACAGAATTATAGAATTTCAGGGGTTAGAATGGACCTCAGCAGTCATATAGGCCAACCCATGAAAGAAATCCTCACTATACGCCACCCAACAAATGGTTGTCTAGCTTCTCTTTTGAAGACTTCCAGGAAAGGGAAACCAACTGCCTCTCCAGGTAGCCTATTCAACTTTTGGACAGCTCTAACTGTTACCAAATTTCTATTTCAAGTTCTATCCAGTGCTATGAGTTCTAGCCTTTGGGGCTAACAAAATAATGCTGATCACTCTTCCAAAAGACAATGTATTTGAAATACACTGAAGATGGCCATCATTTTCCCTGAATTTCTCTTCCCTATGCTAAACATACTCAGTTCCTTCAATAAAATGTCATAAAACATGTTGCAATGTTTTCAAATTTCACAATAATAACAAAAAATAATGTTAATTGTAAACATTAAATCTATTCCCCTTTCAGGTGATTATCCATATACAAGGGATGTTATTAGTCCCTACTTCAAAATAACAACTGATATTACTGTGTAGTACTTGAAGGTTTCTAAAGCATTTTACATATATTATCTCATTTGATCCTCAGAACAGCCTGGGGGGTGGGGCTCCCCAACATGAAATTTCTGCTTCAGGAAGTTTGACTTCCTTAATGTCCCTTACAAGCAGGGGTTGTTGGTAGGTACTATAGGCATTATCATTACCATTTTATAGAAGAAGAAACTGAGCTCAGAGGTTGATGAATTACTCATGGTCATAATGATCATGTGTGTTAGAGGAAGGAGTTAATCCTATGTCTTCCTGAATATGAGTCCAACACTCTATCTACTCACTAAATCACGCTGCCTTTCCTTGAGTTTTGGACATGAAATGACCATTAAAGTCCACAGTGCTTATGCACCAAAAGCGATTAAATTGTGTATAGCCTTTGACTTAGCAATACTGGTACTGGGTCAATGAAGGAGATCAATGAAAGAAGAAAAGGATCCATATGTACAAAAAGATTTATGGTAGTTCTTAATGTGGTATCAAAGAATTGGAAATTTAGGGGGTGCCCATCAATTGAGGAATGGCTGAAGAAGTTATTGTATATGATTGTGATGGAATACTATTGTGCTGTAAGAAATGATGGAGATAGTTTCAGAAAAACTTGACTTGTATGAACTGATGTAAAGTGAAGTGAACAGAAGCAGGAGAACAATTTACACAGTAACAGCAATATTTTAAAGATAATCAACTTTAAAAGACTTAGCAACTCTGATCAGCACAATGACTCACCAGAATTCATGATGAAACATACTATCCTCCTTCAGAATCTATCTTCCTTCCTTTTCTTTTCTTCTTTCCCTTCCTTCCATTTCTTTTCTCCCTTCATTCCTCCCTCCCTCCCTTCTTCCTTCCTTCCTTTCTCCTCTCTCTCCCTTTCTTTTTTTAGATATGGCTAATTAGGTAATTTGTTTTGCATCACTATATATTTGTAATTTTTTTTCTTTCTTGCCTTGGCAATAGGTTGGGAAGGGGAAGGGGAACAATTTGGATCTGTAAATAAAATAGAATTGAGTAAAAAAAAAAAAAAGAAATCCACAGTGCCTTCAGATTTCTAAAAGATGGCCATAGTTGCTGTTGTTTTTGTCTAAAGGGCCCAAGCCTTGGTCAGAAACTTCATACATCATGGTGGTGGTTCCATCTTATTTCCCACAGCTCCCCAACATGAAGTTTCTGCTTCAGGAACTTTGACTTCCTTAATGTCCGCTACAAGCACAGGTATTCTAGAGCTAGCTCATACTGGCTCACAAGTACTGATAGTTAAATTTTCAGTGTGCATTTTTATACCTCAGAAATGGGCAAATGCTATAAATAAAAACTTGATGTGTTTTGTTGATTATCCAGACTCAAGAAAGTAATGAAGGAAATGTTACTAACACAGATTAAACTTAAAAGTGTGTCATGCATTTTTTTTTAGAAAGCTGGTTGTTAAACATTTACCAGCACACCCTCGCTTATGAGCCTGAGTCTCTTCTCACCTTCTTACTTACCTTTCAAGGACAAGCTCAAGTCCCACCTTTTTCCAACCCACTCTAGCCCATACCGACCTTTCCCTTCTGTAAATTAGCTGTTAAGTTTACCATTTATCCTATGAAATCTCGCATCACGTTGTCCTTTGTGGTTGTGTGTCTCCTATGTGTACATCTTTCCTCCCTAACTAGACTGTAAGCACTTTTTTTTTGGAGGCAATTGGGGTTAAGTGACTTGCCCAGGGTCACACAGTTAATAAGTGTCCAAGGTGACATTTGAACTCAGGTCATCCTGATGGCAGGGCTGGTGATCTGTCTACTGCACCACCTAGCTTCCACCCAGACTGTAAGCTCTTCTACTTCTCTAGTATCTGCACAGTTCCTAGCACACGATAGATGCTTAGCTGGTATTTGTTGTGCTCATATAATAATGCATTGCGTGGCTCTTATTCCTGCTCCACGGGCAAGAAGACCATGACCTAGGGTCACCACGCTGTCCAGGCTGCGGCCACACTTTCTACTGAGACAGTGCTTTCAGGAGGTACACGCGGTCTCCTTACCAGGTTTTCGTTGGTCAGCCGGGATATTTCCTGTTGGACTCCAAACTCCACCTGGGCCTCGGGAGACAGCAGGAGCGTCTGGCAGAAGGTCTGCTGCTGCTTGTCCATCTCCTCTTTCAAGGTTTCAATCTGGCTCCTCAGAGACTCCATCTCTTCCTCGTGCTCTCGGCTCTGGGCCTGGAGCTGGGCTTCCAGCAACCTACAAGAGGAAGGGGGGCCTGTTGACTTTTTTGTCCCCGGCTGAGAAGGGGCAAACACAGAACGTTAGGCTGGCTTCTCAGAAGCGCAGCTCAAGCTGACCTCCAGCAGAGGACAGGATACAAGCTGGGATACCGACAGGACAGAGAAAACGAGAAATTCGGGATGAGCAAGCAAGACCATCCCCAAAAAGCTCGAGGCTAGAAAGGGCCAGTCGCAGGATCTGACAAGCAGGCAGCTTCAACCTATCTCACTTTCAAACTCTTCATTATAATTAGAATTTTGGCAGTAAGGGCTATCTCTATGTCAAGACACGAGAGCAAAGATTAACTTCTCCTCATATTCTGTTATGGTGCTACAGCTACTGGAAACGTACTGACACTCATCGCAAAGCCCAAATGGGAACCCTCCTGTTGGGAGAAAGCATTAGCACAGAGGAGGGATGGACAAATGCTTGCTGAGTGACTGATGAGCTGATCTGATTAGTTATTTCCCCTTTCATAAAAATAACAGCTCACATTTCACAGCGCTTGAAGGTTGGCAAAACACCCTCCTCACAACCACCCGGTAACATAAGAAGTATAAGCATCATCACCCCCATTTCACAGGTGAGGAAAGGGTAAAGTGATATGTCCAGGGTCACACAGCTAGGAAGGGTCACAGCCAGGATTTAAATCTAGGACTACAGACTCCTTGACTGCTTGTTTTTTCCACTGTATCATCACAAAATTTTGAAAGGGAAAATATTTGTTCACCTGCCCCTAACATCCTCTACTTACCTGCCTGCATAGATATAATTTTTTTTATGCTTGGAAAAAAATAGTTGGTAACAGAAAGTTCAAGGTGACTTTAAGAACATCAATTGGTTTGCTAGCTGGAGGCAGAGGGATCTAGATTAGAATAACTGACTGGGAGAAAAGAAAAGACACTATTAGGGGTTGTTCTAGATTTGAGTTAACTGTGTGACTTTGGGTGGGTCACTGCTCTTTGGGAATTAACATCACGTAATGAGCTTTGATCTGAGAGTCAGAATTAGAGTCCCCGGTCTGTCACTTAATAGTGTGACTTTGGGAAAGTCACTTAACTTCTATGAGCCTCAGTTTCCTTATCTGTAAAATGGAATAATTTATATATTCTTTTCACAAAATTATTGTGAGGTTCAAATGAGAAGGCATATGCAATCATAAAGCTTTTTAAGCTTCATTCACAGCAACATAAATATGATCTTTTATTGTTTAGTAAATGAGGATAAGGGTTATATTTGATTACTGTCTCTTTAGGCCCACATCTTAGAGTGAAAAAAAAAAACACGAGGGGAAAACAAGGAAATTACCAGTAAATATTGACTAGGGAGTCCTAGTTTCACTTTAAAATATCCAATATTTATTATTCATACAAAATGTTAATATTCTAGATAGGCTGGAGATTTGTGTTGTAGGTATATCCCAAGGCTTACAATATACAAATTCATCTCCTAATTTTTTTTTTAGCATACAAGGAAAAAACGCGACTGGTACCTAGCACAGTATTGTGCATTGAGCAGATAGGTCATCAATACTTGAGATGAATATGATAAAGACCAGCCCATATCCTATGCCATATGTATATATCAGATCATAGGATAGTAGATTAAGACTTGGAAGGGATCTTAGAGGACAGCCATTAGTTCTAATAACCCCATTTTACAGATGAGGAAACTGCAATACAATGAGGGAAAATGCCTTGTTAAGGGTCAAGTTAAGGACCTGAACTCAGGTCTTCTTGACTCTTAACTCCGAAGTCCTATTCACCATAACATACTTCAGGGGTGTAGACGCAATGGCAATCATGTAAGACAGACCATTCAGTGTGTGAGGTAGGAGATGGACCCAGAGGCTCTTGGAGGCATAAGAGTCTGGAACATGAGCACATAGACTGCGTGCTGGGCGCAGTTTGTCATTATTGGGAGACTCCTGGAAATCAGTGAGGGGGCTCATCACCAACCGCTTCACTCCCACGAAGTGGAGTGGGGTGGGGATTTACAGGTTGAATTATGCCACTGCTCCAGGACAGTGTCCTGCTTGAAAGGGTCAGCCCCTAAGGTCAGAGCACCTCTGATGTACAAAAAGAGAACTGGACACCAGGAAGGTCAGCCGGAATGAAAGGCTGAATGCAATTCAGAGAGCGAGCACCCCGAGCGCTGGTATGGGCCACTCACCTAACAAGGAGGGAGGGCAAGGGGATCTGGAGGGAACTGATGTAGTGGGTGCCTCGGGCTTCTTGTCCACAGAGCGTTGTTTACCCAGGATTAAATGATAAATGCTCATGGGTTCTGACATGTCCTACCTTACAGTCCTGCCATGAAGCCTGTAGCATGGGCTGCGCCTGTGAAGGTGGGCTGTGTGTGCGTGTGTGTGTGTACACGTGCATGTGTATGTGCAGCAGCCAGAGCCAACGTCCTGGGCGTAAACACAATCCCCTGAGTTATCCCCACCCACCCACCCACCCAAATATCCTCCCTACTCCTATCACCAACTGACCAGGTACCTGAGGAAGTGCAGAAGACATTGAAATAGGAATGCCATCCCTCTCATCACCTTGGCCCTAGGAGACCAGACAAAAGAAAGGGAGCATCCCCATTTTATAGATAAGGAAACTGAGGCTGAGTCGGGCTAAGTGATTTGTCCAAGGTTGCATGGCAAGGACCTGTCAGTGGGAGAATATGAACCCAGGTCTTCCTGGCTCCAGATCTATCTAGCACTCTATCTATTGGGCCATGCCTTGCTGCCTCTCTCATATACTAATAACTGCAATTTCAGAGCAACAAAATTTAGTACAGATGGAAGAATGAACAGAAGGGCACATAGCAAATAAGTTATTTTTGTCACTGTTTTGCTAAAATGAACATCACCTTTGTAGCAGACTATAAATAATTTATGCATGATTTTATTCCTTGCTTTGTTAGTAACAATAATTGATATTATTTGCTATTGATAAAATAATTGCTTTAAATTTTGCAGGTACATTATGTTCACTTTCCCATTTGACCCTCACAACTGTCCAATGAAGTGGGCACCACAGGGGCCCGAGGCAATGGGGGTTAAGTGACTTGCCCAGGGTCACGCAGCTAGTGAGTATCATGTGTCTGAGGCCAGATTTGAACTCAGGTCCTCCTGACTCCAAGGCTGGAGCTCTATCCACTGTGCCACCTATCTGCCCCCAAAATCTGAGTTTCTTTTTCTTTTTTTTTTTTTTTTGGTGAGGCAATCAGGGTTAAGTGACTTGCCCAGTGTCACCCAGTTAGTAAGTGTTAAATGTCTGCAGCTGGATTTGAACTCAGGTCCTCCCAACTCCAAGGCAGAGGTCTATTCACTGTGCCATCTAGCTTCCCCTCAAAACCTGAGTTTCTTAATCTCAGCTCAAACACTGGCTGTACAACACTGGGCAAAGTCACTTATTCTTTCTGGTCCTCAATTTCTTTATCTGTAAAATGAGGGTAAAAATATCTGTCCTACTTGCATCAGGTAGTTATAAGAATCAAAGGAGAAAGCATACATGGGATTTCTTAGAAAACACTCCAGTTCTGGACAAATACAAGGTACTATGACCACCGTGATTTCCCTGTTCACACGGAAGTCCTAGCCCTGCTACCAAAAGGAGAACAGCGAGACTGAGACATCAGGCGCCGAGCACATAAAAACAGGCTAGGGGGTAACCCGTGACCTTACTTCTACTCTTGTTAATATAAAACCAGAGCAAGTAGCTGAACAGGCATAACAGGCAGAGCAGAAACAGGAAGGAAAGGATATCGTTTGACCTGGCAACTTGCTTTAGGCCTTGGTAGGCCAGGCCGAGTTCTCCATCTTCATTCAAATATCCCCAATCCTCAGTCTTGCTAGAAATAAAGGACAGGAGAAAAAAAGGGAAAGGAAACCGGTAGAAAGAAAAGATAGATGGTCAGACAGATATAGCAAAAGGGAAAGTGAAGAAAGCCCAGTGAGCCCAGTTATGAGTAAAAAAAACAAAACAAAACAAAACAAAAAACAAAGGAAGGCTACAGATCAAAGGATACATTCAGGGAAGGTAAGTGAAAGATAAGATCATTACATGATCTATATCCTATCTCATTCCTCTCAAATGCATAGCAAAACCTTGGGGGAATTATCAGGCCTTTGTTTTTAGACCTAGTTAACCATCATGGGAATAGATATTCTGTGCCTTATGCCTCATGCCATCATCACCTATGAATACAACAAATAAGCCAAGCAGGGCAAATACATCGCCAAAGATAAAGAAAAGGGTAACTTACTTGTGGTGCCTCTGGGAATGAGCCCTAATGGAGGAGGAGGAGGATGGATAAAAGTCCCAAGGCACAATGAAAGCCTTTACACACACACACACACACACACATACATACATACATACATACATACAGCAGAGTTGCATTTACCTGAATGATCAAGGCCCAGGGAGGGAGAGAAAGCAAGGAAAGCTCGCAAAGCCAGGGCAGAGAGGAAAGGGTCCGCTTCATCGGTGGGTAGAGGGGATGGAAGTACTCAAGATGGAATAGCAAATGATTTAGAATGCCAAGCAGGAAGACGGAATGATTCACCACTACCTCACCACCTACAGATTCATGACGTTAATGATTTTGAGACAATCTGGCACTGCTTAAACAAAAAATAGCGGAATGCAGGCAGAAATCTGGTGTCTTTTGTTGAGAGAGTGTCTATCTTGTATTCTGTTTTTCCTCTCTTGGATTGTAAGATTTTTTTGAGGATAAGTGAATGTTAGCCAACCCAATGCCAAGCATTGCTTCAGAATCCTGTGTGAAGAAGCAACTGAAGTAATGCCTCATATTGATAACTGAGCTGCTCCATCCATCTGTCCATCTCTGGAGAGTGCCCAGAGTATCAGACCTTTCTCATTCCCATCTCACTCCCCTCTTCCCCTTACTCATAAACTCATATTGTGCTCTCTCAGGGCTTACTCTATCTGTGCTAATGAATTCACAGAACTCTT